TTCATTTATTATATGTATGATTCAAACAGCTGTACAAGAGGGCCGGCCAAATAGCTCAGTGGATTAAAATCCCTGCAAGCAGGTACAGAGACCAGGGGTTTGATCCCGGGCCTGCGACGCTGGCCTTGGCCCAGGGGCATGTTGAGACAGCAACTGAGACTGGGCATGGTGGCACTTGCCTATAATCCCAGCTCTTGGGGGGGGGCTGTAAAAAGTAGAATCACTACGAGTCCAATCTAGTAGTGAGACCCTGAACACTTTGTAGACCCTTCTCTAAAATACAAAAAAAAAAAAAAGTTGTATAGAAACTAACAATTTAATACTTTAATGCCTGGAGGGCACAGATAGATTGGAGAACACAGAATGAACGAGGAATGCAGAGCCTGATGTTTAAGCATGCAAGGCCACCATGTGATCTGTGACCTCTTACAAACAATCCTTCTCTGCAGCTCACAGGCTGCATCTGCTTGATATTCCTATCCAAGATACTGACCATAAACAAGATCAGGTTTACTGAATGAGGGTACCCTTGAACCAGGGTGTCACCTCTACTCAGGAACATGGCTGTGATCCCTGATACAGAAGTTATCTGCTTGAGGGCTGGTGAGATAGCTCAGCGGACTCAAGAGCCTGCTTAGGTGAGCTTAGGAACCACAGTTCCATCCCTAGCACCACATGCTCCTCCAGCCCTCCCCCAGGGGTTGAGCTGGCCAGAGTAGTGGCACATACCTGTAATACCAGCACTGGGGAGGCTGAAAGCAGGAGGCTCTCTCTGAGTCCGAGCTGCATAGTGAGACCCTGCAACAACCAAATATATTAATAACAAAAAATAAATAAAAATAAAAGTAGAAGTTATCTGCTTGAAGCTGCTGTGTGAAACTGGAGGAAAAGAGCCACACTCCCAAGAACAGAGTCTTCAACTTCATCCTCCTACCAAAGGAAGCCAGCGCTCCAGCTGGAACTCATTAGCGTGGGCACGAGGTGTTCTCCCTGCCAGTTTCCCTTGTAGAGCAGGAGGTCCTCTCCTGGCTATGAAGAGGCCAGACTTGCCTCCCTGTGTCCACATCTAGAAAACTGGATGGAGCGGCACATGCTTTGATCCTTGCGACAAGAGAAACTAGTGAAATCTTGTGAGCACTCAGCCTTCTGCCTAAAGGCTCAATTTAGGCTGCAGCACAGCTGCAGGCATAAGACATAGCAATCTTGCTCACAGGAAGAGCAGAGGTTGAAGTTCAGGAGGCCAGAGCTACCGGACTGTCAGAACAGTGCTGACAAAAATGGAACTGCACGGAGAACTAGCTCCTGGTCTACACCGCCGTTCTCTAGAGTACTTGGACGAGCGCTGTGGACCCGAGGCGGTGATAAGAGGAACAGTTACAGGGGAAAAAGCTGCTGAGCACTGTAAACAGAACAATTCCCCAAGCTGAGGAAAGGACAGAGGCCTTGTGGTCCCAGCCAATCAGAGCAGAGACCCACGGAAGACCAGACTTTAGGACTAAGCTGAATCAGCCCTGGCCTGAAGGCTGTTCTAATAAAGCCTTTGTTCTGATCTGCTCTAATGAAGACACAGGCCAGAACTATCTAATATGACAACTACAAAGTACATGTGTCTATAGGACCTGTTGAAATGTGGATAGTCCAAGCTAACATGTGATTGTAAATAAAAATAAAATACAAACCAGGTTTCTCAGACTTAGCATTAAAAAAGAATGTGAGCTATCTCAACAGATTGTATACAAATTATTGGAATGTTAATGCTTTGCAATTATTGGGTTAAGTATTTATTAAAACTAAATTTTTAGAAAGATGGAAAAAAATGTAGACAAGAAAATTGTTTTTATGCTAACTTTAATATCAGATCAAAGAGACCAACTTCGGTTATTTGGTATGATGACTAATGGGTTAGAGTCACATATTCCTCAAGTCTAGCTACTATTCTATTTATTATACTCAACTGTATAGCTTTAAGTAATTTTAGGGTTAACATAAAAACAATAGTTGTGAGACTGAGAGACTAGTTCAAATCATGTTCTTGCCAATATAAAAAACAAAGAAATAAATACATTTTAAGGAGAGAGGGAGGGAAGGAGAGACAGAGAGAGGAGAGAGGAGAGAGGGAGAGGGAGAGAGAGAGAGAGAGAGAGAGAGAGAGAGAGAGAGAGAGAGAGAGGACATCCAGGTGCATAAGTAGCTAAAATTTAGTATTAGCTTTCTCTCTGATATATGTCCTTTTTAACTCTACATTTCAGTGTCTCTCGTGTGACACTAACAAATAATCATGCTCTGTTTGGAAAAGTATTCTTGGCAGTAATCGAGGGCAATAATTATTTAACTTCTAAAAAGGCTGTACAAAGGAAGAACCTTCTGAGAGATCAAAGAACACTTTAAAAATTCATGCCAGGTTACATTTAGCAGTAGTCAAAGAAAAGGAAAACAAAACCAAAACACAAACCCCTGCTGTATGTTAACAGCTGGAGAAACAACGGGAAGCCTGGATTAATACAGCTTCCGAGGTCTCCCTGAGCTTAGTCTCTCTCTAAGTGAGCCCCCAGCCACCAAAGGAACTTCTCACATTTACTGGGGGCTACGAAGAGGCTAAGGAGTGTGTGCATAACTAACTTGGTGTAAAAAGCTGTTATTTACATCCCTTCTGCATTCACCAAACTCTTGAGTTTACAAATCACTAGCTGGTAACTTCCCAGGTAAAGGAAGGAAGAGCAGACAGCAGCTGCTGCCTTCAGGAATCTGTTTCTTTGTCTCCAGCTTGCAGGAATTACTAGAGGCCAGTTTCCTCAGGCTCTGTTCTTTGTTCCTTCCTCCCTCAGCACAATAAGCTTCGGACTCAGATCACTACCAACCCCCATCAAAAAACAGATAACACAAAATACTGAAAATATGACTTTAATGAAAATTTTAAATCTACATTATATATTTCCAAACATAGCAGAAAACAATGTTTCACAGACAGTACCTCTAAAGAATTCTCAACACTGCTTCATATTATAACTATCTTTAGTTTTTTGTGCATCTACATAAGTATAAATATTACTTATTAAAATTCACATTTAGGCTAGGGAGATAGCTCAGTTGAATAAACGCTTGCCTGGCAAGTGCAAGGGCCTGAGTTCAATCCCTGGTTCCGCAAAAAACAAAAACAAAAACAAAAAAACAGTGATTGATACGTTATCTTAGGGACTGAGGAGATGGCTCAATGGAATAAGTGCTTCCCTGGCAAGCGCAAGGGCCTGAGTCCAATCCCCAGTTCTGAAAAAAAAAAAAAAAAAAAACAAAACAAAAACAACTCACATTTAATACAAATTTTCAAAAATGTTTGAATGTAAAACACAACAAAGTAGTAGTGGGCAGAAAAGTTTGCCAAAACCCTAAAGAATAACAAGGGGCCAGGGAGATAGCTCAGAGGCTTAAGCACCTGCCTGGCAAGAGCAAGGTCCGGAATTCAATCCCTGGTACCCCAAAAAGAAAAGAGTAACAAGAGTAGCTCTCAAAACCTGATAATAATGTTAGCTTTGCTGAAGTCAAGGAGACATTTTGAGCCAGGTGGACACATGGAGAGTTGATGAACGCTGTCTAGTACAGAGGTGTTGTGGGTTCATAATCAATATAGGAATCCAAGTGGCCAATTAAAATTGGAAGATTTTTATTAGCTGAGCTCAGCAACCTCCAGCATAGACGCGCTTCAGAGTCTAAGTGAGCAGGCCTGACCAGAAGACATGGCGTGTATATAGAGGGAATATGCAATATATCTTGCTTGTCAAACAGTCAGATTAGCACCCATCCTGCCTGTCAAACAGATTTTTTTTCCTATACATTTGGCTACTTTTTTGCCTGTCATTGTTTAGGGTCAGTGCTTTCTCAGGGTATATTTCCTCCATGTGGCAGGCCTGCTTTTTACTACCTTGGTGTCAGCTAAAGTTTTTTAGGGTCAGCAGCTTTCTCAGGGTGTATTTCTTCTGTATGGTAGGCCTGTTTTTGCAATTCTAGGGTCAGCTAAAGTTTACCATGGCAATACCTATGCTGAAAGTCTGGGTTTAGGACATCACAAGAGGTAAAATAAGAATCTATCACTGCTGGTGCTATTAGACAGCGGCTCTTGTTGTGCCGTACAATTACCTCCTCTAAGATGACTTGAGTCTCTCCAGATAGGTTCACAGTTTCTAAGGGCAGTCTTGATTTTTGTGCGATCGCTAAGTATCTCTTTGGCAATCTTTACAGGGTAGGAGCATATTATGCTTATCAAGGTGAACATCAGGGAGAAAATGGAGGGGAATCAAGACTCTAGCTATACTCTGCTGCTTCAAATGCTAGTGACAGCTGAGCAAGAGGTAGATTATTTTGTCAAGTAAAAGAACATACAAATAGAAAATATTCAAGCATTATAATTTCACCTAAACTCTCCTTGCAAATTCAAAATTGAAATGTTACAAAGTAAAATATCAATGATTTATACAAAGATCTTTGAGGTAGAACTTTATTAATTTATTGACTCAAATATATATACAAGTTTTACCTGAAAATGTTCCTTTCAGATTGGTCTGTAAACTAGTTTTACAAATATGATAAAATACCTTCATGGAGTCAGTAGGTACCACAGAGACAAAGTAGCTACTCTAGTAGCTGACACTGCCACAAAAGGTCACAGATTCTATGAACGGAATTGTCCTGTGGGGAGGCACTTGTATCAACATACATTAATTAAATTCATGTCTGTAGGAATATAGGTCAGAACATGATGCTAAGCTTTCTTTCTTTTGTACCCACTACTACTTGGGTACCTCACATGCTATTGCATTTATTTTATTTATTTATTTATTTATTTGTTTGTTTATTGGTGGTACCAGGCATTGAACTCAGGACCTTGCACTAGCCAGGCAAGTACTTATTCCACTGAGCTATCTCCTCAGTCCCCACATTTACTCTTTTGTTTTATTTATTTATTTAGCAGTACCAGGAATTGAACTCAGGACCCTGAGCTTGCCAGGCAAGTGTTTATTCTACTGAGCTATCTCCCCAGTCCCTACATTTAACCTTGACTGGGTCTGTCTTCTCATTCAGAATTTGAATATTCTTAAAGGCTGAATTACAATATCTTTAAAATTTATAAATCAATTACTGGTTCTACAAATTTAATAAACAGAAAAATAAGATGCACTCACTAAAAAGTCAAGCAAGGAGCTAGAGATTTGACTCAGTGGTAGAACCCTAGCCTACCAAGCTGTAAGCCCTGGTTTCGGTCCTCAGAACAAAAAAAAAAAAAAAAAAAAAAAAAAAAAAGAACATCCCCTGAAAAACTTAAGCAATATTTACAGCCTTCTGCAATTAAAAACATTTTTCACATTAATTTTTCTGTTTACTGACCATACAATCAAAACTGAGTTCATTGTCTTGTACTCTAGGCAAAGCTCTGGTGTTCATTTTCACCCACAGAGTCTGAATTTTCATGGCTGTTTCTCATGTCTGCCTCAATGATAGTCTGAACTCTCTGCGAATGAGCCGTGTATTTGGCTTCATTGAGAATTTTAATGAAAGTCCTGTATGCATTTTTCTTCCCATGAGCTTGATACCAACTACGAAGCAGTTGAACTTTCTGCTCCCCCGTATCTTGGGAACTGTCATTCTTGATGTCATCTATTTTGGCTTCAGAGACACCGTTCTTTCGAACAAGCTCTCTAACTTCATTTATTTTCATTAGTTCAGCAATCCTAGGTATGTATTTGCTGAAGTCAATATCTGAAAATAGAAAATAGTCTCAGAAAATTTAAGTGAAATTCCTACTCTGAAAATCCATGTTCATTTCTCCCCTTTTCATACTTAAGAATACAGTTAAGTCCTAGAGCTCTAATTTCATTGAGCAAAATCAAAACCAACCATGAGTTATAATTCCAGTTCCTTCTATGTGCCCAGTAATTTTCCCTCTGATTTGCATGTAACACATCATATCTCTGCTCCTTCCTACCTCAGATTTAAAGTTTAAAGCTTCCTTCTAGTGGTTTCTTACAGAGTTTATGATCAGTGACCCTCAGATCTAGAAGTTCATGATCACCTCATCTGTGATCCACAGGTCAAAGAGTAGAACCAAACAGAAGCATACACGTTGTTATAGAGCTGGGACAACTGTAATTACTGTGTCTACAATTCAGTTTAATCTCTGCATCAGTTTAGGCAGGAGTTCTGTAATATGTCTAACCAATTGTGAAGGAAAACTTTTTTAAAATCTGTCTGTCTGTGTGTCTGTCTATCTGTCTGTCTGTCTGTCTGTCTGTCTGTCTATCTACCTACCTACCTATCTATCTGGCACAGGGTTTGCTATGCAGTGCTCCTCCTGTCTCAGCCTCATCAGCACTGGAATTGCAGAGTGCACCACCATGCCCAGCATGAGGCCAGCATGGCATGTGGTGCTGGGGATCGAATCCAGGTCCTTGTGCTTGCCAGGCAGGCACTTAGTCTGCAGAGCTATCTTCCTAGCCCAGGAAAACTTTTTAAGCCTCAGAATATAGTGTGAGATTGTTTTCTAATTTATGATTAATTATGAGTGCTGTTATAGATGTACATCAACCATTTGATTAACCTGTGATGTATGAAGAAAGATCTGCAAGTGTAAGGGCCACATTACATCATTGAAATTAGCAAAATAATTTTACTCTAAAATGGGCCTATTCTAAAGGCTGAAGAGATAGCTCTAAGGTCTAAGCACCTGCCTGGAAAGTGCAAGGCTCCACATTTGATCTCTGGTACCACATGTGAGGCCAGGCCTACCCTGCACCCAGCCAACCACTAAAACTGGCTATGGTGGTGGCACATGTCTGTAATATTGGTACTGGGGAGGCTGAGACAGGAGCGTCAATATGAGTCCCACCTGCATAGCAAGACCCTGTACCAATAAATAAATACATAAATAAATAAATATTTTTGTAAAAAAAAATAAAATTGGTCTATTCCTGCAAAGGAAGCTGTCTGTAGGAAGTAAAATGCTAAAGGCCTTACCTGAAAAATTCAGTGGCACTTTTTCTATTTCCTAGGGTGGGGGTGAAAAGGAGATAGATAAATAAAAATGTATTTAGAATGTTATAAATGTCATCTCTTGTTCTGAAGGAAACACAATCAGCTGCTTGAAGTATAAGAATAAGAAACCAGACGAAATGATTAAGAAGCACTCTTTTATCATTCAAGTTTGATCCTGAAAGGCCTTATACAATATTGGCTCAATTCTTATAAAGGCAAGGAATGGAAGGCATTCAGGAAATGAGCTGAGATTATTTTTCACAGACTTATTAACCAGTAAACATAGTCATCCTAAATTTTTTTTCACTATAGCTATTTTCATTTTTGACACCAAGAAATGGTCCAAATTGGATTTTTGTTATCCTATTGATTTAAAGAACTCTAATTCCCCCTGAGCCCTAGTCTCAAGCAAGATCATTATCCACTTAACTAAAAGTGTTTTTTTTTTTCCTGATGTATCTTTTTGCCTTTTGAAATGCGTTGGTCACATGTTGGAAAAAGTACAGGAAGAGGACTGGCCCAGCAATTGACTGGAAAGGGACAAACTGTGCTTTCTTATGCTAGGTTTTAAAACCTTTTAGCCCAGAGTTGGATACTGAACTCACACTCTGATAAATGTCCTTTTGCTGTGGGGACAACTCCAATAGGCAACATGGAGCTAGACCATGTCCTAGTTTTCAGGACATATAGCCACTTCCACCTTTCTTGCTTCTTACAGTATTTGTGTAAAAGCTTACCCGTAAGTTAGGTGCCATGTAATATTCATTTTTGTTGCACACAAAAACACAGTACCATAACAAATAAAAAGCTGAATTACTACTTTATTTTTGCAAAAAGATTAATGCACATTTCAATACTTACAAGAGGTGAGTGCAGACGTTCGTTGCGAAGACGGTTGTTCTTATAGTGCTTATACAGCCCTGAGAGGTGAAAGAGACATCTATCAGAATCAAACCTGTGCCTAGTAGACATCAGGTGAGAACATTCTTTCACACTAAAAGAAGTATTGGAAGGGAAAAAGGAGAAATTCATGGAAATTTGAAGTGGCCAATGTCACTTCACTCTTCTCACCCACCCCACTCAGTCAAATGTTCAAGGGAGAGGCCACGTCTTAACTGAGTCAACCAATCATTATAACTTGATGCAGCATGAAGCTGGCTTTCTGGCTTACTGCATGACCACTGTCACACCCACTCTAGGATGGTGGGTGACACAACTGCAGCCAGGAGTGGAAGCCAGTGGACCTAGAAAATTGAAGGCAGGGCCGGGGAGACAACTCAGCAGCATAAGTGCCTGACTGGCAAGTATGAGGTCCTGAGTTCAATCCCCAGTACACACACACACACACACACACACACACACACACACTAAAGAAAATCGAAGGGAACTTGCCACTGAGGAACACTTAATACCTAGAAATTCCAATAGATGCATCCCCAGATAAGTAAAATATACACACTCAGTGAGCAAAAGTCTTAAGTCAGTATGAGATGGAAGAATTTGATTCTCTAAGTACAAAAATAATGTTTAAGCACAGAATATGTACTTTCAGCTAAACAACCCTTAAAGTTAAGACTTCTTCAGCTAAAATAAGCAATCGTTCCAACAGAGAAAGAAAAATATTGATGCTTCTCAGTCATTGAAGGTGGCTGCAACCCATCATATTATGATGTTTTTAGAAGAGATTTTACAGACTAACTATGATTATGCCAACCTTTGGCTCATCCACTGAATTTACTACCTAATCCCTGAGTAAAACAATTGCCATAATATTTTAAATTAAGGAGGAGGAAGGATTCTTTTCAAGACATAGAATTTGGTCCAGTGAAAGAAAAAACAAGAGGGACACACTGATCAACTGCTCTCTATTATACTACTCCAGGCAAGGCCTTTGATTTTTGTGTAATGCATAGAGAAATCTTAATGAATAATAAAAGATTGCTTCTCTTTCTTGGCCAACTCAACCACTGCAGAGAGGCCTTATTCATTAGCAGGATGGAATTACTGCCTTAACCCTAAAAGTGGTGCTCACAGAAATTCTTATCAGCTCTCAGTGGTGTGTTCTGTGGCAGTGACCAACAATATAACAGGGCCATCTACCCAATAGCTTTTTTATATGGAGGAGATGGATAAGAAAAATGTGACAAACCACTACTTCTCAAGTCATTGCAATAGATGGTTAGAAGAAAGAAAACACTCACCGAAAGCTAGCGCGAGTATTGGGATTATGAGGAAAAACAACCACCACAAGTTCGAACCTGTAGCTTGGAACATTAAACAGTTATATGAAAATGGGCAATCTTCAGTGATAAAGTACTATGCTTTCAAATAATCACAAACAACTGGCTTTTGTCCCTATTTGATGGTAGGGGTGGAAGGATGGGAACATTACCTCCTGCTTTGCATTTGGTGTTGCTGGTTGGTGTGCATTTTTCAATGATTCCATGCTCACACCTGAAAAAAGAAAAAGCAGAAAATTCAGAAAGCTTAGATAGATAGACCCTCCATGTCGTATTATGAATTAGAGGCTATCTTAGTTAATCTTTGTACTCTGGTAAACATTTTCTCTTAAATACATATAGACAAGGATCTAAAGCTGGTAAGAGGGCCCGCAGAAATGGTTCAGTGGAGTAAGTGCTTCCCTGGTAAGTGCAACGGTCTGAGTTTAATCCCTGGTTCCACCCAAAAAAAAAAAAAAAAAAAAAAAAAAAAAAGTACATGTATAAAGCTGGTAAGAGTTAATAACATAATTGGAATGCTGTGGTGAGAGTTCTTTTCTTTTCTTTGTTTTTTATGTTTTTGGTACAGGGTCTCACTATGAAGCCAGCCATCACAGTATGCCCTAGGGGCAGGGCCAGTGTAGAATGTGGCTCTGGGGATCAAACCCTGTTCCCTGCTCTTTCCAAAGCAGGTGCTTAGTCTACTGAGCTATCTCACTGGCCCTGTGACGAGATTTCTTAGAGTGACTTATGAATGAAAAGTTAGAGGAAGGTAATAAAATGCTGCAATTCAAAACAGAATGGAAAGAGACAAAAAAAAATGAATTTAAAAACCAGTAATAAACTGACCTCTTAGAACATTTGGGTTTAAACAATCTGTTATAATAAAGTACTAAGAACAAATTCAAAAATTTTAAAATATTAAAATGGCCCAATTCAAGAATGGTGGTGCATGCCTATAAACCCAGCACTCGGGAGACTGAGCCACAAGGATCACTGCAAGTTCAAGACCAGTCTGGGCTGCAAAGAGAGCCAAAGGCCATCCTGAGTTGCATAGCAAGATGCTGCCTCAAAAGGACAAAATGACCAAACAGCAGCTACTGCCCAGGATATGACTTAGGGAAAGTTATTGGCTCAATCTACAGCACTCCTTTGGCATCAAGTGTTGCCTGAGAGAGGCAAGAAGCTCATGTGGAATTTTCTTCAGACAGCCAAACACTGATAATTTCACTGACAGTCAGTCAGTTTGGCTGATAGTTTCTGAGATCATAGTCTATCCCTATTTGACCTTGTGCAAATCATTAATTTTCATGAGCCTTTTATCTCCCTAGTAACATAGAAAAAATGATATTATCTACCTCACAGCATTATGAATGATAAAAAAAAAATGGTATCAAGAACAAATGCATGGAGCCAGAGAGATGGCTCAGTAGAATAAGCGCTCCCCGGCAAGCACGATGGCCTGAGTTAAATCCCTGATTTTGCAAAAAAAAAAAAAAAAAAAAAAAAAAAAACCTGGAAGTTATTATTATCCTTGCTTTTATGTGCGGAAATTAAAAAAAAAAAAAAAAAAAAAGAAAGAAAAAGAA